CCCCCCCCCCCCGTGTCAGCAGAGGCCCCCGCTGAGCTCAGAAGCCCTTCTGTAGGGACGCTACTGCAGTCGACCTTGCTTCTTCACAATCATTTAAACCTGCTAAGGTGCAGCTTGGGCTTGAAAAACGACAAAAACCTTTTTATTCACTCATTATTTTAGAAATTAGTATTTTAACATTTTACCAGTTGCTTTTGATTTATTTTTTATAGGTTATATGTTATTTATTATATTGGTATGTATCATTTTACTGCATTTTGATTTTAATGATTGCAAGCCATCCTGAGATGCCATGCGTAAGGGACGACATATAAAAGTTTTAAATCAATAAAAATAAATAAATAAAAACCCTCTGTCATCTTCTGGATGACGACGTCCTGAAACATTGTTCTTGCCTATTTTATAATGCACTCATCCCAATTCTCCAGCAGCTAGAATTTGCTTATTAATAAGAACACCCCTTTCCCTTTAGGCGACAATGTTGCCGGATGACTATAAGGAAGGGAAGCTTCAGGCCTACAAGCTGATATGTGCTATGATGACCCGGCGCCAAGACGTCGTGCCAAATCCGGACTACCTGGTTCATTTTTATCTCGTCATGCACATTGGCTTAACAAGTCAAGATCAGGTACAGCTGTGTTTGTCGTCGCAGTTTGAAAGCGAGGCTGTATTAATTTGTCACTCTGAGTTTCATTCCGTTTACAGAAGGGCATGTGATTTATTATCGGATCCCATCGGTGGATAGAAAATGGTTTTAAAGTGATGGTTTTGCCTTATCTGTGCCACAGATAAGATAGGGCTGCACGGAGTTAGTGCTCCTGGCTTTGTCCTTCTTTTAGCAGCAGGAGTATTCAGTGAGTGGGAATCTTCACACTGGATGTCTGCTTTGGCAGGACAAAGCTCGGCATCCAAAGCAAACTGGACGCAAACTAATCCATCAAAATAGCTCACGTTATTGTCCCCTTCGTTTCATTTTTCTTTACGGCCAGAGTGTGGGTTCCTTGTTATACAGAATGTAAGTGGCAGTTTTTGCCCCCAAAGCCTCTAATTCAGCCTGCTTAGTTTCCGCAGCATCCCGCTTGTGACCGAGGTCTGCCGGGGAAGCCCTTTTGGTTGTACCGTCAGAAGAAGAAGTCCAGACTTAGCTTGTAACAGTGGCTTTTCAGTGCTGGCACCCTGGTTCTACAATGCTTTGGAGTTTAGACTGGCACCGACGGACTAGATTTGGTGGCCCATGAAAACATTTCCTTTCTGCTGGGCCTTTTGCTTAAGATATGCAATTATCTGTCAGAACAACACATCCAGAGTGGTGTAAATAGAACTTGACTCTTGGGACTTCTCTGCCCGAGTATTTATTTTGCTTTGTCCCTCTTGGTAGCTTGCAAGTACCTTATGCAATGTTGTTGAATGCCAGGGCCTGCCCCTTGCTTTCCGTGGCTTTTTTGTTTTGGAGTCTGCAGGAATTAAAGGACAGCTTTAAGAAAACATTGGATTTGGGGAAGCAGTTTTAAGGAATCAGGGCAGGTATATGAGGAAATAGCAAAGATGAAAAGAAGACATTATGCAGAAAGAAGCAGAGGAAGAAGGTGAAATTAAAAAGAGACACAGGATGAATTCTATGCAAGACTGAGAAGATGCAAGCAAATCAGGAACTAGATAAACAAAGCCACTTCAACTGGTGCTATAAAAAGGAGAGATCTGGTCGATTCCAGCAGCTACTAAAATTGGTCTTTATCGCCTTGCCTAGTGCAAACCTAGAATAACAGGCTATCTATTTTTGATCTGTCTCACTGCTGCAAAAATTGTTATTCTTCCTTTATACCTCTTGGTGGCGGCCTTCACTTCAAGGTTTCTAGTGGGTTAGATGTGGTTCTGAAAGAGGATTGCTCTTTGCTTTTGCGTTTGAAGATGCAAGCAGCATGTGCAAGTTAAGAATCCTTGGTGTATTTAGCTCAATTTTCAGCCAATTAAACTAGTGAGTCAACAGTGCCAATTATATTATAGCTTTTATTTGAGTTAAATAATCACTATTTTATATAACAGGCTATATAATCGTTTGGAGATATTATTTTTCCTGATTATTACCAAAACATTAAACAAACAAGGAGCACTGGTTCAGACTGGAGCAGGGACGAAGGATCCACCACCCCGTATTGATGTGATCGTATTGAATTGTGGCAAATGAAAGCAAAGCATTTGCTTGGAAAGCCAGGCCATGGATAATCTGGTGGCCTTCACGTCCCTCGTGGTGCAGGAACAACCTGTGACACACCTGGGAAGCTCACCTTTCACTGCCAGTCAGCCCTGCTTGCTCCTAATGGCAACAGCACGTCCTGCAAGCCAGTCGGTCGGCTCATGGTCACAGCACACCTTCTGCACACCTGGCTGGTGCACGGAAAATAAGTCCCAACAAACAGGGTGGGGAGGGAGTGGATGGGGGAACAGGGAGCTCCCCCCAGAAGCGCCGTTCAGCTGTGGCATGTTTGGATCATTCTTCTGCACAGGTTCATTACCCCGTCTGTGTGAGTGCGCAGGTGACCACTTGAAGAACTTTGGCTACAGGTGAGCCACCTGCCCGCTTTCCCTGGGACAAGGTGAGAAAGCCCTTAAAGGAAGCAGGCATTTGGCAGGCCACGCAAGTTTTTTTAATTTAGGCGGTGGCTGCGATGCGTTGAGATGCGTTATTTCAGGGCCGAACAGGACATCACGCCCGGTGTATCCTAGGGAAGCATGTCGGGTGGATATGGCCTTTACTGAAAGCACACCTGGAGGCCACGATCTACCTTTCCCAGCCCCATTTCCACGCTAAGGTAGACATTCTGGCTGAGCTGAGTTTCCAGTCAGACTCTTGAGCTAAGGGGCTGGCCAGCTCCTCCCTTTACCTTGATCTCTCATTTCAGGCATCCTGTCTGATAATCTTTCCCACATCCCAGCATTTGCTCTTCACGCCATCCTCCAACAAACCACGGAGAAAATGGCTGCCTTACTGTTTGTACCGCTCCTGAAAGCTCGACGGCCAAGGAGACAACTTTGGCCGTGCCCCTTCTATCAGTGGCTCAGCACACGTCGCTTCTGACTGCCGGCTTCCTTCGTGTTGCCGGGATAAACATCCTACTTGGCTTGAATAGTGGGAATATAAGATCAAAGTTCACACAATTAGGTGAATGTGAGAAAACCGCCTGTCAATGAATATTGTTATGGAAGTTAATCTTCCTTTGCATCTGAATATAACTCCGGCAGGAGGAGGAGTGTGTTGATGGGTTATCTTCTACCCATTTGAATAATTTGGGGAATAGTTCGTATTTTCCATTCTTGTTAATATTAAGTCACAGATTTACTTATTAGATTTCTGTTCCAGCCATCAAGGCAAAGATTGCCAGGAATATTTACATGAAAAACAAATCCATAGAAGGTCAGTTCACAATGACAACAAACCCACAGAGATCAGAATAAAAGTAGGAATAAAACCCATCTGTAAGTTTACCAAGAAATGTAAGTTTTTCTGGTTCTAGGAAAAGATTTAACCAGGCAGGCCTTCCCGGAGTGCCACTTGGTAAGTGGGATGCCACGAGAGGCATTTCCCAGTAGCGCCCTATCTCCCCTCTGCTTTAGGCAGCTGGAAAAAAGGCCCGAGATGCTAGTAATGGGGAGGTCTATAAAAGCCTTAAATAAAATAATAAACAAACAAACAGTGAACGGTTGATGTGGCAGCAGCTTCATCCCGGTCCCAGGCTAGGAACCGCTTTAAAGGGGAGCATAAGCTAGACTTTGAAACGGGTCAAATACTCCTCCAGTGACTAGTTCCAGTTGTTATTTGCATTCGGTGTGATCCCAGCGCAAAAATGGCCAAAACCAACAACAGCTCCTTCTGTTTTATAATTTTATAGGATTTGGGAGATAATGAGCTGGCTCCAAAAATAGGTATGATGCTGAGTTGCTATAAAGCCTTATCCAGATCTTTTTCTTAAATTCCTGAAGGTGTGTTGGCTTGATGTTAACAAAGATCTCAGAACTGATTTTCATTGCCTTTGTTTATTAGTACATGAGCTGTTTTTCCCCCTTTTCCTTAATTTGCTCTAACAGCAAGATTCACAGTTTAGAGACCAGCCTTATGCAACTGTTGCATCATTGCATTTATTGCATTTCTGAAATGAGAAATCACCGCATGGTGTTGATGTAAAAATTAATCAGAAGTGGAGGCTCTGGAATTTTTGAATTTTATGCTTTTAATGGCCACGTTTTAACACCTTGACAAGTTTCCAGACCTTTTTCAAAGGCAGCCCCATGTAAGTGGAATGCAGAAAAATGGCAATTATTTACAAACCTTTACTTTATAAAGAAAGTGCCAGAAAAATGAAGATAGCCAAAAGGAAAGTAGCAAAGCTTGCGACACAAATAGATGTAAATCAGGAGGTTTGTCTGCCATATCTGATCTTGATTAATCTTTCATGCTTAGGGTTGAAAGACATTAATAGTTTGTTACACTACTCTTTAAAAATCAGACCAAACCCTTATTGTTAACCAGTTTAAGATTTGGCCTTGCTTGGCTAGCATTTCCTTCACTGAAAATTTAATTTTTAAGAGCAGCACCAAAACCTGCACACAGTATAGCTTGAGCTCAAGTTCAGAAAGTGAAAATAATGCTAAAAATCTCACCCCAGTACTGCAGCTGCTACTTAATTGAAATGCCTCTTTCCCCTTTTTAAAAGGGAAAAGATGCTAAGCTCTTCACTGGCGGAAATTTTGTCCTGTTCTACATAATTAAAGGCAGGAATTAATCTGCGAAAATACTAGCTTGTTCCTGGTGAGGAACGACTCAGAGTCTTTCTAAAGACAGATGGCAGGGTATCTAGTTACATACATAAATGGCAATAGTTTGAGCAAGAATAGGAAAGGGGAATTTTTATAATTGACCTTTCTGTGAACTTGAAACAAAGGAGAATATTTTTAACTGGTCTCGCAATATAATTTTATTTTTTTCCCAGCAATACTTTGAAAATAGCAGTTTATAGACTTTTAAAGAGTTAATCCATTTTATTGGGGCACAAGCAGTAGATCTTTCCTCCTTTCCTCCATTTGGAACACTACAGAGCATCATTCTGAATTGCAATAGTTTATAATGGTTCTTGCTGCCCTTTCCCATAACAGCATCAACTCTGAATCATACTGCCGCAATTATGTAAACAATAGATGTGCTTCCAGAACAAATCTCTCATTTTAAATTTTCATTTTGGGTAATTGTTGAATGATTTGGGACCATAATCAACCAAAATTATTTTGCACATTTATAGATCAATTAGGAGAGCTGTAAAGGGAGGAAAACTATAAATTGTGTACCAATTCCTTTTGCTATTGCCATGTACTTTCTTACTGCTTGTGGTTTTCCAGTTACTGTGTACCTAGCATTCAATTAAAATGATTGATTTACTAGGCTGCAAATTGCTGAATGCTATTTACATTTATCGGGCTGCGCTTTAAAGGGAAGGAAACAACCTGGTATGTTTGAAGAACCTGATTTTTTTTTTTTTAGTTATTTTTGCAAAACCACTGACGTAAAACATATGTTTTCATGTTGCTGCTTTCCCAAGAGGCGAGATCTCTTCATAAATTACCAGCTCATCCTTATTA